GCCTCGGCTAGCAGCTCTTCCACAGGCCCGTTATGACATTCACGCTTCGGTTCAAACCTAGCACTTGTCCCAGGAGTGCCGGTATGGTAATCCTTCCCAGGATGTTGCATCTTCTCTCTCACCAGCTCCGCGTCGCCACCTTCAGAGGTCAGTGCCTCGGCTGGCAGCTCTTCCAGAGGCCCGTTCCGACATTCAGGCTTCAGTTCAAACCTAGGACTTGTCCTAGGAGTACTGGTGTGGTAGTTCTTCCTGGGACGCTTCACCTTCCCTCTTACCATCTTTGCATCGCCACCTTCAAAGGTCGGAGCCTTCAGAAAGGTAGAAGTCGGGCCTGCAGAAGGTCAATGTTAATTTTTTTTTCTGGGAAGGGTGCTGTTAACTTCAAATAATAATAATTTGTTGCAATGTTTGCTTGATATGGACTGTTTGCAAGATAAACACACAACTGTACTGAGAAAGGGATAGAGGAATATACTGGGGAACGGCGCTGATGTGGGAGAGCGAGTACAGTTGTGCGATTCAGCCATATCAAGAGGTGCTTTTTCAGTAACCAAAGACGATGCTGTAGCTTCCAAACCATTTCCAGAGTCAGCAGCTTCTTGACTTCCTTCACTAACTGCAACAAACGCAGCCTGCACATCTTGGCTTCCTTCACGAGCTGCAACAAGCACAGCTTGCACATCTTGGCTTCCTTCACTAGCTGCAACAAGAGGTTCTTTTTCCGTAACCAAGGACGATGTGGTGGCTTCCAAAGCATGTCCGCAATCGGCAGCCTCTTGTCTTCCTTCACTAGCTGCAGCAAACACAGCCTGCACATCTTGCCTTCCTTCACTAGTTGCAACAAACGCAGCCTGCACATCTTGGATTCCTTCACCAGCTATGACATGCACAGTCTGCCTATCAAGCGACGCCGCCCGGTGCTGAGTTGCAATATGATCCTCCTGAACAGTCTCGTCATCGCTGCTGCTCAAGTCAATAATATCATGATCGCTCAGATCTATGAAATCTATTACAGTCATTTTGTGGCCTGAAATAGTAAAATTGCGTGACCAATGATTAATGAAGAATGGTGCAGGAATAAAAAGAAGCTGAAGCTATATCCATCCATCAGACATTTCACCCCTAAGGGAAAAGAAACAAGTAGCAAGGATAATAAAAATAACCAAAGTCACCTACCCTTTTTAAGAATCGAGATATTTGAACATTTATGTAGCTATTATAACATGACTGGCTCTTTAACTTGGAGCACCGGCCATGAACTCTCTTTTTTAGTACATGTGGTAAAAGAACAATGAATGTACTATCGAAGACAAATGCAGTAAGATTATTTTCATATAACCCGTCATATATATTTTAATGTGCAAATTCAAATAACTCTGAATCCAGAGCTCTAGCGGTTGCTTTGATTCCTACATATCCATTTAGTATATCTTGATTGAAAATGAAGCTATCATTTCCTTCTGTATATTGCTAAATGAATAGATTTCACAAGAGGTCGAGAAGCTCGAGTAGTAGTAAGAATTAGAGTTCTTCCTCAATTATGGAATTTTTTCACATAGCTCGGGTCAATTAGCATCTCCATGTGTTGAGTTAAAAAGTAACGGCGACGTTGCTAAAAATCGAACAAAAATGGCTTTACCGGATCCAAGTGTGACCAAACTGTCGCCTTCTTGATCGTATCGACTAGAATGAGGATATTTGTGAATCTTGAGACCTGAATTTGATATAACCTTTAGGATAGCAAGAACTGGAGCTGTTGTAAATAGTACAAGCGCTTGAAGTTGTAATGAGTGTTAATGGAAAAAACTCATTGTAATGCAAAATAATAAGAACAGAGAAAAAATAACATTGAATCCTACAGAAAAAGATCATTGGATGATATTATCTAGGTTCACAGTTTTGAGACATAGGAAAGGATAATTTTTGTACAAGTCTTCATTAACAAGAATAATGGGTCGAAAATTTTCAAACAACATTTGTTTCACCAGCAATGAATAATGACAAGGCATGTGTAAGGCAAGACCAGACTACCTTCAGCTCAAATTTTATCCTTGCAATAACTTGAAGGCCAAGGTTCGTAGCTTTCACCCCATTGACTAGTGCAATTGCAGCAGCACCATCACTGTACAGTGCTGGAAGATAAGAAAGGCACTGCAGTTACACTTTAATGTAACATCGCTTCGCGTAATTCATCTTAACCGTGCATAAAAGAATAAAATTTGAGCTCTGAAATAATCTAGCTCTTCAGTACTCTTTTAAGATGACACAGAACAGACCGATGATTTATACTACTGAATATATACAACATTGTTTGGCTGAAGGTAGACTGATCATGTAAAAATAAATCTACAATGCTAGACCAAGCAGTATCATAAATCTGAATGAAATTGTTGAATTAAGAAATACTGAATAGAGGTACTTCAATCAGATAGCTCAATTCTACTAGCTGAATATTTTTATTAAGGATTATGGTACCATACTGGAAAATTGCTGTTTAAACTATTTTGCAAGATTACCATCTAAGTAAATATCCATATAAAGATAGTAAAATAAGTAGCAAGGGTATGAAAATTGCAAACCTTGCAGTAGAAGAAGTGCCAGCAGTTACAGGCCCATTCTTCTTAAACGCTGGCCCAAGTTTCCTCAGTTTCACTGGATCAATCTGCACACGTAGATGACCAGAGAAACCATGAAGAAGCAGTATGGAAAAAAGGTATGCTGATGGTTATGTATTTGCTTTGTCTTGATGTGTTATTCTTCTGTGTACCACAAAATTATATTGAATCAGTAAGTCAAAACCAGACCATGTTAGTTTATCAATAAAAAGTGAAACCATGCGCAGACGACATTGAAGAAATTCATTCCGTTACACATATTCCACAAATTTAGCAACCCGTAAGTTCAACACTACTATAAGCTGACTACTGGATTTTCAACTTATCCCTCTTTAAAGAATGGGGATACTAATATCATATCAACGAAACAACTATCTTTCCTTAATTAACTGCTATTTTCGCCTTTGCATTGAGAGCCTCTCCGACTTAAAGCACCGGCCATGATGAACTCTCTTCACTTAATACACGTGGTAAAATATTAAACGGTGGAATTACTGTTAATGACAAATACATTAACATTACTTCCATGCATCCAATCACAAACATCCCATGTATTTTAGCGTGCGAATTTGAAGAACCCCGATTGTAAAATCTAGAATTTTCTGCAAGATTTGTTCACAGCAGTTCGTCAATCGAAGTTGAAGACGTGCCTGGTTGGCACAGAAAACGTTGATGATTGCAATTTAGGAGAGCAGCAGGTTCGTTCGCCGCTAAACCTTAATTTTTCCTGTGCCCTCGGCCAAGTACTTTGGCTGAAAGGTGTGCTTAGCATAAACAAATCATACTCCTACAGTTAACTAGTACCACCACCAATGTCAGGAGATCTCTGTTTTACTGTTCAACGTACTAATAGCTGACTTGGGTGGGATCAGTGAGCTCTCGAACGCTACGAGGAAAGAGTTCGCAAATCGCAAAGAGGCCATCTGAAAAGAAGAAATCTGGAAGAGAAAGGCGCAGGCGGAGGCAGCAGACCTTGGTTCCTCTGCTTCCCCATCTCACCCCACCTTCAGGCTACTTCCTTGCTCGCTTCGCCCCCCTCCCCTCCGCTTGGCCTCCAACAAAACGGCCGGGAATCAAAGCGCGATCGGTGCTCTGCAAGGAAACCAGCAGAGATCGTTGAGCGGCGGCGAGCAAGAACCAGCTTAAAATCAGCTCCAAGAAAAGAAAGACGGGGGTTCCTCACCCGCGGGACGGATCGAGCGGAGGCCTTCGCTCCGCGCCCACGGCAGCGCGGTCCACCGGAGGAGGAGGAGGGGGAGGAGGAAGGGGATGCCGGACGGCGAGCTGATCTGGTGGGGTGGGGGATGCTCTCCGAGGGAGCCACGGGAGGATGATCACGTGGGGGGTTCCTGCGCCGTGGGACCCACCGAGATCAGTGGGCAGGCACAACAAAAAGAACATGTACGTACAACAGTCCAACTCCTTTCTTGACCATGTTTACTATGCTTAAACTATCTACAACTAAGATAAAATGCAAGATATAACTAATGTACTTAGAAAAGATAAAGTTACAAGTTAGGTACTATTATATATTACTTCCCCTAAAGAAATATAAGAGTGTTTAGATCACTGCTCCTATATTCCTTTACAGAGGAAGTAGTTTGTAAAAAAATAAGTTAGAAAGTTTTTTTTTTGCGGGGAAAAAAGGAATTCATTAATTAAGTGGCAGGGCAGTGGTGGAATTTTCCCTAGGCAATCGGTAACATAACATACCCGGTACACGAACTTGTTACAATTGTTATGCGGTAGAGGCATGTACTTACATGCTGCAAAATAATGGACTCACATGTACTTATAATTGTTCTCTTAGCAAGTATCCACAAACACTAAGATTTATTCAGGTAAAACATTAACTATGGCCGTAACTTCCTCTAGGGTTCCTTTCGAATCGCCTATGTTTTAATTCACAAACTCAGGGAACAGCTTTTGTCGCTCCGGCCTACCATACTAAGCTTACCATAACACATTGCTTACCCTAAAGTGTGATTCAATATAGTGTGCACCTCTATATTAACACCCTAGTACAACACAATAACAATTCATACAATGCATACTAAGCATCCTACAACACCGGTATAATAGGACAAAAGAAAACTACTCAGACATGAACACAATGAAACAAATCATAGGTGAATTATTCATTGAATCAAACACCATGTCTTAGTAGCAGATTACAAGTTTTTTTTTACAGTGGTGAACCATTTGGTCCAAGGAAGATGGTGGAGTCCCCAGGCAACCTTCCCACAGCCGTTGAAAGGGAGAGGGAAGGTCCCCTTTCTTTTGTTGGTGACGAGTTTTCTACTCTATAGATGGAGGCTATGGTTCTACAATTTTGGCACCAAAGGGTGCTCCCGGGTGGAGAGTTAGGGTTTCCCAACAATATATAGGTCAAGTCTTCCAATCTCGTCCATCCAACCCATAAGGCTTTGATCCAAGGGCCCTTGGATATGTTTAGGCCCCTCCAAAGCCTTTCTTGCCCATAGGATCAAACCACGTTCAAATCCATCACGTTTGGAAGGATTTAGAGTCCATCTTGTCACTCTGTTTGAAAGTGGCAGTTTTTGTAAATATTGGATTGGGACCACACACTACGTACAAACTTACAATTGGGTGATTCCAAATGCTATAGTTTTGCTATGACGTGGAGTATAAATTTCATGTATTGATTTTCTTCATTTGACTCGATCTTAAGGGGTCCAAGTGATGATCTTTAAGAATTAGACTTGCATGGACAGATATGTAGTAACTCCAAATTTTACCGGACCTTGAAGTTTTTTCATACTTCATTGAATTTCCATGAAGTTCCTACGCACATAAGGGAAAACAAGTAATTGTGCTTGTCTTGCAATTATTAGTAGGTTAGTCCAAATACATATCAAAGTTTGCATAAAAAATAAGATAGTGGCATGAAACATACAAAAAAATATAGATACGTCGGAAACTTATCAAGGGCGAGATGTGGCAAG